AAAAAAAAAAAAAAAAATCTGCTGATTCTGCAGGGGCTCGGGTGCAGAGGTGTGGACGTGGTTATCGGCGCTTCACAATTTAACCCAGATGAAATTGTCTGGAAGTCTTTATCTGATTTCCTTTTTTGTGCTGTAGTTGGCTGCAGTGTACTTGCTGCGAGTCAACAAATGCTGCTTGTTTCTCTTCAGCTTTAGGCTAATGCCAGCTCTATTTTTGGTAAAGCATACGCGTTTGACTGCAGTTTGTCTCACCTTCCCTGATGGAGCAAACTTTATTGATTATAGTCAAGGAAGCTGATGTCAGTGAAACCTTCTTTTTAGGATTGGAACTTAATGCCAATTACTTTCATCAGAGTAGACATCAGTCTTGATTCTTATGCCATTGACAGCCATTAGTGGGCCATTTAAAAGGCACTGGACGAGAGCTCTATTGTGATTAGCCCCTCGGTGACCTGGCCAATATGGTCATCTTCTGTCCTGTTTTACGGGGGCCTGATTTACTGATACAGCAGCTCTTAGCTTAGCTTAGCTTAGCTTAGGTTTGGTTGGGTTGGTTTAAGAGCATTTTGTACAAAAAGAGTCCGTAACTGGAAGAATGAGAAGTTAAGACAGCTGTTTGATCGCACTAATTGATGACTACTGCGATTAACAACTCCTTGAAAGCTGTACGAACATGTATCTTTTGTTATCTTTTCATTTGAACAGAGAGACTAAAGCTAAAGCTAAAGTTGAGCTTGCATAAAGAAGCAGCTCGGATTATTTATTTATTTTTTTGAAGAGAACTTGACCCTGAAATTTCACAGTTTTTTTTTATTTGACCTCCTAATAAATAACTGGCTTGGAAAATTATTTGGGACAAGTAGATTGTCTTTTGTTCCACTGGCAAATCTCTTCACCCATCTCCTAGACATGTTATATTTACATTGCATTTGTTTGAAATAATTTTTTTTTTTTTTTAACACATTTAGATTTTTTTTTTATTCCTCTATTATCCCCATGGACTGCAACACTATTAGAGAAAAATGTGCTGCAGGTTATTTACTAAACGTAGTGGTTTGATTTCAGAAGATCCCAAATGATGCAATCGCCACATTGTTTATTTGAATGTGTATTAAATGCATGCTGTTGCTTGATGCACTTATAGACCAAAATAGTGGGAGTTCTTGAGTTCTTGGTTTTCTTTTCTTTCAGTGCACGGTTCACTTTGGAAATAACTGTTTGGTATTATCAGATCCACAGTGCTCTCTCTTTTTTTTTTGTTTTTGTTTTTTACAGTAATGCTGGATCAATAGAGTGCTTTCAGCCTCCGATGTAGTGCGTCGTATAGTCCAAAGATCAAGTCTGGACTTTGACTGAGCATGTGACGGAGTTAATTCTCAGAGGAAATTTCTCCATAGGCGTCAAAACAGATTTACTAAGCGAAAGAAGGCAAGAGAACGGTTGAAATAGTCACATTTACGTCAGCATTAGTTTAGATTGTTATTACTGTTGCATTACCGTGGAAGGTCATTATAAAACTCCACTGAGACATTCTGTAACTTGTCAATTTTGGCTATTTTTGTAATGCACTTGCACATGTATGTAATCTTCCCCTCTTGTGGCTTTCTGTTCCTTACTTGGTTTGCTTCACAAGGAGAATCTGTTTACTCTCGTGTCATGTCAGCACATCACATCATGTCAGTGGTTTCCCCAGCTGGCTCATTTGGTATGTGCAGCGAAAAGCAGAAGTATTGATTCCTGCTTAGCATTTGATTTTGTAAACAGGGGTACTGCGTAAGCTACAAAAGCGTAAAATAGATGGCAAAATTATTGTTTTGCATAAGATTTTTTTTTAAATTATTATTATTTATCTTTCTTGCAGCAGGTACAGGTTAATGTGTTTAGTCTTTATTGGCTCAATACTTCTAGCCGAAAGGATTCAAATCTGTTTTGGGCTCTTTAAGTTAGATCAGCGAGTTGTTTGTGTACAGCAGCCTTTAAAGATGGACACATTTGCTATTGGATTCTCATTTGACCTTTTGACTAAGTCGATTTGTCCACATTTAATTTAAAAGTCTCCTTAAAAAGAAATTTCAACACAGTAGTGACGTGTGGTGCCATTGTCGTTGTCTGCACCAAAGAGAAACAGGTGTCCCTGAAAGATTTACACTTATATTTCTTCAAAAAAAAAAAAAAAAAACCAAGATTTTAAGAATAGACTGAAAATGACCCCACAGTATAACAATGCCACCAATTTGCTTCATTCATGAGTTCTAAGTATAATTTATGAAGGACTTTCCTCAATGATGGTACGCTTTGCAGATTTCTTTCTCTGTAATTCAAGATCTACATTTGTGGAGCTGACAGCTCAACAGAATGAGTGGCAGGTTTAGGTTTGCAGACCTGTTCTTTTCCCCGTCCAGAACTTTTGAAATGTTTTGATGGTCTATTTATTTGATAGAGGAACAGTGTTCCTTCAAGCCTGGTAGTTATTGAAGGTTTAAAGCAGATAATTGAGTAACTGTGGCTGTAAGAATAATACAAAAAAAATGTATTTGTCACTAATCCACTGTTGTTTACATGAAATCTGTCAAGATTCATGGAAAAATCATTGACAGAACTGCGTAACTGTTACAGCAGAAGATGTGGAGCACATTTCCCCTGCTGGACTCTTGAGCTGAACTGTCAGGCAGCTGCAAGCTGCTGAGTGAGCTGCAGATGTGCAGAGTTGCTGTGTACGGCCCACCAAAAAGGCCCGGTAGTGTATGTGAGCAAAAAAGTAAAAAATAAATTTAAAAAAAAAAATGCTTTGAAGACATTGTCGGGTTAGGTTTTCAAACGTTGTTTTTATTCTAAATTCAACCAAAAACAATGCTGTGTTTACACCAATGTCCTCTCCCGGGGACTTCAAATAACACTTTAGCTGTTTTCTGGATTTCATTACAATAGATAATGAAACAGAAGAAGTCTCGTTTACAGAATAAATGTCACACTTACCGTGCTGTTCAAGGATGTGCTCCTAGGATGCTTTTGCATGACACCGGTTGATTGCCACTGCGGAGAGCTCAATTCGAGTGTTGCTGTTGTTTCTCCCAGCAGGGAGAAGAGAGTGATGTGTAAAGGTTTCCAGGATTCATCATCTTGCAGCAATGGCCTGAGGGACTCTCTGGACTAAGACCACGGTAAGAAGAGCAACCGCAGCCAACTCTCTACTGATGCAACTCTGCTGCGCAATATGATGAATGGACTTCTGTCAAATATAAATGTTGACATGATTCAAACACTGAAACAACAAACTCCTGCTGTTTTATGATCTTGCATCGTTGGAAAAATAGATACACCCGGGTGAGCCTGTGGAGATCATCTCCACAGGCTTTGTGCTGCAACATTTGTTTTACAGACCAAAGCAATGGAGGTTTTGCAAACTCTTCTGCTCTACAGATCCTGATATTGCTGAAAGATTGAGTTTGAGCTGATGCTTCCACAAGTTTGATGAATGTGCTCCTCTGTACTTGTTCGGTTTTCTGACTTGACAGTTTTGTAAATCAGTTTTGCAAAAAGAAAAAAAAAAGAAAAGACAAATTGCTTCATTGTTTATTTAGCTTTTTCTTGTTTTTACTCTTTATCTGGAAATTGCTGGATGTTTAAACACTCTCTGTTTAGCTTAGTTTCTTTCAGCCAGCTTACTGGCAGTTTAGCGGAACGCTTTCCATAAAGCCAGAGTGACTCTGGCATCAAAACAACTTTAAATCAGAAAACTGGTGTAATGGGACGTTGTAGTAATTTTGGAAGCAGTATTTAAAAAAACCCCAAAACAAAATAATAAAAAAAAAAACCTTGCTACACTATACGATATGCTGGTTTCAACCCATACCTTTCTATATTCAAAAGGATTTCAGATAAATCTGAAGAATTATTTATCTGAAGAAGATAAATTCTTCAGATAATTTATCTAAATCATCTGAAGAATTACTTTATGTGAAAGTAAATATGACTTTCACATTTTAGTTTGAGTTGGGGCTGAAAAACGTATCGCAATACAAGGATTTTATTCGAGTCTATATGGATAATTGATTAGTTTTTTTGTTTTAAATATCTGAAACGGAGCCAAAATCGTGTCATGATTTCTGTTTTATTCGCAATTTCCTCTTGAGCCGTTGTGCTCATTTCTTCTTTTCTCTATGCTATTGTTTTTTTAAGCACTTACGAAGGATGGAGGGCAAAACCTTTAACTGATGCTGTGTAGGTGGTTGCTAGGTAACCAAAGAGAGAGAGTTAGTTGACGCCCCCTCCTCCCCTCCTCGCTTGTGAGACGTTGAGTGGCTAGAGCTGTAGAACACTGTGTAGTTCAGGGTCAGAGTCCACTGAAATGATTGAATAGTCTATCAAACGTAGTAGCTGTTTATCAATCGTGTTTATTGGTGACATATAGATTTAAGTTTTTCCCTCCACTAATTGTTTCCCTTCATCTCTATTTTTTCCTTTCATGTTGAAAAGCAACTGGTCCATTTGACTGGTTCACTCTACAGTTCAAAGTTTTATACTGCAATCTGCTCATCAGGCAAAAACCTTGTTTTATTGTAAAACAAGTTTTTTTTTTAATGTACACACTACAATAAGCAGCTGGGTCAGTAGTGGATTGATAATGGCTCAGATCAATTAGGTAATTGACCCTTGGAGATTAACTTGGGATAACCCAACACATCAGCCTCTACGTTAACCTGATTTCCCTACTGTTATCAGTAAATCTTCCCATAGCAATTAACCACTGATGGATTTGGACTACATTGTTGTTTGAAGATGCATACTCGTAACAGCAGTAGTCGGTTTTGTTTCTTTTTTTTGTCCATTGCTTTATGCTAAGTTGGCAAATTGCCATTGTGATTTACATATCCAGCCATTGTACTCCCCAGTGTTTCTCTGACAACCAGATGCTGAACCGTCTGCTTCTCATCCTGCGACATCCTGGAGTTACTGCCGCCATTAAAGATTGATGAGTGTGATCAGCTTTCAGTAAATGTGGGGGCCTGGCTTGTTGTTGCTATCTGCCACTTTAGTGCCATTACCTGGCAGTGATTCCAGAGGAAAGAATATCTTGAGTGGGACTAGGTCGTATACAATTTGAACAGTTTTTCTTTCTTTTTTTTTCTTTTTTTTTTTTTGCTTGTTCATTTTACCCATCAGGAGAACTTTGAGAATTTTCCATTGAATTTCTTTTTTGGAGGACGGTTGTTGGAGTAATTAATGGTGCAAAGTTGATTTTAACTTTGCACCAAGTTAAGGTGGATGTTAGGTGGATGTTAAAATTTAGGTTTCTTGCATGCTCTTTGGTGATCTCTTATCCTGCATTATTCAGACTAAAATCAAAGACTTTTGTCTTTTCTGCCTTAAGCTAGCAAACATCCTGGAGAGAGAAGAGAACATGGACTTGCAGCATATTCTTAGTTATTGGGAAAACGTTACCGATTGTAATCAACCAACATTTTTTTTTTTTTTTTTTCCGTGTATGTCATCCCAGTAAATCCCACCACTGTTAGTTTCAACATCTGGCTCACTGAGATCTGTTAGGCATGGACAAAATGGCAGTGAAAGTGAAAGTCCATGCAACTGTTTGTAAGCAGTGTTTGAATACATGACAGTTGAAATATTACAACATTCCAAATATTGTACTCGAGTTGTTGTTGGTCTATGCAGTCTTGATCATTGTTGATCTTTTTTTTTGTTATTGTACAGTTCAAATTCAAAACTATAAAGTCATTCATATTATGGACACAATTACTTAGTGACCTTAGTGACACGGGAATATAAAGTTGTGTGTCACCATAATGCATATGAAGACTTTGGAGAGCATAAAGGTCTTCAATAAAAGGGGATCCAAGAGTCTTGAGGAACCTCTCTTGTTTTTTTTGTTTGTTTTTTTTTTGTTTTTTTTTTTGTTATTATTCTTAGATTAATAACTGCCAAATAACACAAAGTGGTCCCAGTAGAGCAAGTAAAGCCTGACATAATCCAGCACAGTATCAGAAAGTCCCTCCTGCTTTTGCAGACTATTTAATGGTATGTCATAGTAGACTGTCTCAAATTAAGGTGAAGTTAAGGTTCTCAACTCGTAGAGAAATTTTATTTCATGGATTTACTAGTTCTGTTCTGTGGTCATAAATCTCATGACAGTTTGTTTATGCTGTCGAGGCGGATGGTAAATGGTTGCACACCAGAACAGAGACGTAAACTTTAGGCTCATTTTAAGAAGTCACCTGATTTATCGGTGTTTTCTGGAGGCTTTGTTGAGAATTGGAGCAATCGGCTCGAGCCCCTGGCATCACCTTGACCAAGTCGCAATACACAGTGCACCTTTAGGTTTTCGACTTTCATTTTTCTGCCGTCTTGCCGTTCTGCTCTGCCTTTCTCTTGACCCAAATCCGATAGCCCGGCATCTGGTTCAAGGTAACGGCAGCTGTCAGCGAGGCCAGAGTCCGCCACGACCTCCACAGTGTTCAATTCTGTCGAAAACGATATTGTTCAAATCCATATTTGCCTTGAATAACATCTTGCATGAATCCAACAAGTTTGTGTGTATGTTGGCTCTCCCGGACGCCTCTTTTCACCCTGGCAAAAAATACTGGGGCGTAAAACGAGAAGACAAGTGTCCTCTGGGTCCTTCTTCTGTCATGATTTCCTCGTCAGTTTGTGGGAAATGAATTGCCTGTACTGCAGGCCTCGAGAAGCACTCTTTACCCGTGCACTCTTGCTCCCCATGTCCCTCCTGGGGCCGGTTGTGTCGAGACGCCATGTGAGGACAAATTACACACCAACGAGACATTGTTCAGCCCCACCGAGGTTCTGCGCTTTCTGGAAGGGTTCTCGTTATAGCAGTGAATGAGACTACAAACACTGCCCCAATAGCTTCTTATTCAGTGTGATGAATGGTCTTGCCCAGCGCCCAGTGAGCTCCAGAAACACTAGGTGTGTCTCTAAACAAAGCCATGTTAAGCCACAAAATTACAGGAACGGCACACTGGCAGATGCAGCCTCCGCTTGGCAACTCGAGACATTTCTTTCTTCCATTATGTTGCGAGTTCAAATGGGCAAATCAGTAGTTTTATATTGTTGCTTTTTTTTATGGCAGTCTGGTTTTGACTGTGCAGTGTAAGCATCGCGAGTAGTTGCGAGAACTATGCAAAGACCAGAGGATTTTCTCAAGAAAAACTGTCTTAGAACTGCTAAGTATGTCCTCTATTAAGGGACGGTGTGGTGTTTTCTTGGCTGTACATGCAGGTGAATGTCTGAGTTGGATTTCTAAGGTGGGGAGCCGTCTGATGGAGCGGGTTACAAGCAGGTTCTGGTTGAGTTTGACGGGAGGGAGCGCGGTTGCTTCCGGCGCTTTGTGCGGCGTCAAACCACTTGTCGTCCCCACGCTTCTCCCTCACCAGACTGGTTGGCTCCAGCTCAATCCTGGGGGTGGAGGGGGGGGGGTCATGTGACACTCAAATTATAAGCAACAACACACACACACACACACACACTATGGCTTTCGTTCTAAAGAGCTCTCTGAAAGTCAATTGATTTCTCTGGAGATTTTGTTGGGGTTGTGAAGTTATATTTGCTATAGTTTTGCTTTTAGTCCTCTGTCAGAAATGGCGTTCTGTCTGACACACAGCTTTAGCTTCTGGAAAATTACCGGTGTCATTTTCTTGAGGTGGCGTTGTTTCTCTTTAAAGCGTTTTTAATAGCCCTCCCCGTCGTGCATCCGTGGGAGTCGGTCACAGATAGGATAAAGATGGGGGGGTTAAAAAAAAAAAAAAAAAGGGTAACAACGTGAGAATTGTTTACACTGTCAGCCCATCTGCTCGCAAATATTCGACGTCTGCGTTTATGCGAGAGAAACAGGAAGGAGTCTAAAGCAGAGATGGCTATGAGGCTCGGTTTCAAAGTGGGCAACTACCCAGAAGGGCATTGCTCAAATAAACCCCATGACCCCCAGGCATCATTTCCACTCAGTCCTTCAGCCTGTGCTTTCCCCAGTCAAAGCTGCTGCTTTGCCAGGAACGCGTAGAAGATAACCGAACGGCGTGTCCACTGCGTTTTACACCTAAAGGATGAAATCGCATTTCAACTTAACGCTTATAAATCGCACAATCCAAGATGAGCTCTCAGTTGCATTATCTCTGAAATGTTTTATTTT